TACACCCTTGCATTCGCAGTCTTAATATGTGAGGAAAGTTGGTAATTATCTCTCTTGCCTTTGTATTTATCTTATTTCCTCTTTACTTATTTTACATTTTCCTTCAAGTGTTGGTAGTCATAAAAAAAATTGTCAAAAATCTACTTCTCACTTTTTACTTGCCCCTACACAAATTGTTTTATTTATTAGCAGTTATCAAATAATAACAAAGTCAAACAAAATTTCATAGTTCACTTATTCCACAGAATCGGATTATTTTCAGATAATATTTATTTTCCCCTCCATGTAGCCACCATCAAACCGCCCAGCTCTTAGGCTGACCGTTCCCTGTAGCTGACAGCAGCTTACTGGCCAGACTATGGGAAGTAACTCTGGAGTAGTTAGAGAATCACTGAGCTTGTCTATTAGACACAGCAAGTGTCAATGGGATTTCTTTTCAGTGGCCAATAGTTGTATGTCTCCAACTATTTTTCTCTGCTTCCCTGGATCTCTGGAGTTTTTTGTTGGAATACAGATTCATTGTTAGCTGAACTGTGGGTTTTTTTTATTAAGCACTGACTGTATAAAACACTGAGGTGGATTTGAATTCTTGTGTTTTCTGTAATAATTCTTACTGCCGTAGGGGGAGACACACTGCAGGTTTAAGGTCAAGCCCTGAGTAACTACAGTAGGTCAAAATCAGTCTGTAAACTACAACAGTTGTTTACAATAGGGTTTGTGTTTGGGTAATTATTTTAGCAATGCCACTGGTTTACAGGTCTTAGCAGTTAACTCGACTAGTACATTATTACCAATGAGTATGTTTTTACCAGTCATAAATTTACTTTACTTACTAAAATATGAATACCTATGAGCAACTAACAGATAAATGTTAAATTTCACCAGTCACTCACACAGAAGTATTTTGAGTCTACAGTGATTTTCATATTTTACCAGCATCTGGTTGTATGTATTTTATTTAAATCGTGTCATGATACCTGAAAATATGTTATTACTGACATTTACCACAAATATACATTCACAGTCCCTACAGAAGAACATGGAGACGAATTGGTATTAGGCCTGCACGATTTGGGGAAAAATATGAATCATGATTTTTTAGCTTAGAATTGATATCACGATTCTCTGCCACGATTTTTTTTTCTCACGAAGTGTAAAGTTTATTGCACACATGAACCATGACAAAACAAAACAAATTGACAGTACCAAACATGGATTTTATTGGCACCTATAGCACATTGCACATTGCCACAAGCCTGTAAACATAGGCTTCAAAGAATAAAGAAAATAAAGTGCATACTGGCCATTTAGATAATTAACATTCAACTGCCCATTCAAGTATGTTACCAAAAATAGTGAACTTTAACGCACTGCGCTGAATATGGCCCTGAACATGGCTCTAAATAGGCAAACTGAAACATCATTCAACATTCTGAGGCTTCAGTGTCTAAATAAAAGTGCCATCAATTGACCATTGAAGTGCAGTATCAAAAATGAATGATTTATTTTGTACATAAAGCAGCACATTGTCTTTAATTGCTGGCCTTTTATAACTAGTTTAATGTTTCTTGAGCCAACTCCACACACCTGTAAATGAAGGCTTCGATGAAAAAAGAAAACAAACATTCAATTGGCCATTCAATTAGGCTCTAAAAATTGTAACATAAATAAGCATAAATAAAACACAAATCTGCCAACCTACTAAGGCGTCAGTGACAAAAGAAAATGAATATTAATTTGGCCATTACAAAAGAGTAAATTAAATTATATTTTCTTTGGGACATAGGCCTCTCACATGACCCTATATGTGACCCTGAATATGGCACTTAAAGATTCCTGGCCAGAAACACAAGTCTGTCAACATGCTCTGGCTTTAGTGATGCATAGTGGCATGTCACAATGTTGCCCCCTGTACTGAACAGCCGCTCAGAACGGATCATCTTAAGAAATCCGTCACGTTCTACTGTGTTTATTGGAACCATATCTTTTGCTAGATGGTAAGCAATTGCTTCTGTTATTTACTTACTCCTACTGGAGTTATGATTTCTATTGCAGAGACCTTTACAGAGGCCCTCCCATCACCACACAGTGTCAGGTTTGATCCCAGCAACTGAAATGTGTCCTTGGGCTAGACACTGACACCCCCTACCTGCTCTCTCATAAGTGTCGGTCTGTGACAGGGGCACCCAAATGTCTGCACTGGAAATGAGAGGCAAACATATGCAAACTACAAATGAAACACACAGCTTGTTGGTAGGCAACCAGCTGTAGTGGGCCACTCTGTGTCCATTACAGTCTACAGAGATGCAGTCCAGCACCATGGACAGCGACACAGGGCTGGAAGCTGTCACTGCAAGTTCACATGAAAATAAGCTCTTTGTTACTTTATAGAGTAACGGAACACCCAATTTTTATTGTCACAACCCGCCTGCACAGATTCAAACATTTATTTTTAGTACTCCTATAGAACTAATGTTATAGGCACAGTCTGAGTCTGCCAACTGTCCGTTAGAGATCCACCTACTCGCTCAGTTTGGTCAACACAATTATCAAACACAATATGCAACAGAAAGAAAGTTCATGCTACTTAAAGATAAACCATGTATGATTCAGAAAACAGTTATGTACAGAGCCGTGGTCAAGTGGAGTTCATTGCCAGTACATATTGTTCAAAAGAACACCAAACATCAGTTCAATTCTGTTAAAACAGTATCAGTAAATATTTAAAGAACTATGGTCAAACTGTGGTTGTGTGTGTAAATTAAGAGATAAAATGTAAACCTAGGTGAAAGCATAAATCCCCCTTAGCAAAGAATGTGGAATTTAATATGCAAAAGCACAGAAAGATCATTAAGTATTATTTATCTGAAGGAAAATCAAAGTTGCTATGATTTTTAATGGGACTGATTAATCATTTATTTTTGTGTATGACTTAAAGCTGCATCAGGTAGCTTTTATAAAAATTACTTTTGTCATTATTCCTGAAATTTTCACAGTGTTCTGACAGTAGTACATGAGACGGATAATCTGTGAAAAAAACAGTTTAATCTGACATTGTAACATTATAGCTATGACAGGAAATTAGGGAAAGTAGAATAGGTTCCCTTTGAAAATCTCTGTTCAAGTGGTCAATCTTTAAGAGTTCAACAACCCCAAGATTCTCCTTATGCAAAGGAAAATTCTGTTCTGGAAGATTAATAGTATATTCCATGAAATGTAATGTTAGGGGAAAAAAGGCATTTAAATATTCAACAGCAACATATATTTATACACAGAATATCTACTAACGATTCTTGAAACGAAGTTTGGATATACAGTGTTGAAACCAACTTTTTCACCACCTTCCCAAAACTGAAAAAAAGATACTAACATTGCCACACTGACAATGCTGTCTGCAGATGCGTCTGAAGAAATGTTTTGTTTATCAGCCTCAGCACAAACATCAGCCGATGGCAATTATGTCAAAATGCCAAATAATCTGCCCCAATTGAACAATTAGTCAGTCTATCACTAGTTGAGGTTTTTCTTTGACCAGTAAGAGATGTTCAGCACTGCAAACTCCCATTAGCCCCTTTAGTTCCTGAAAACAAACAATGGGGACTTTTTGGAGTCGGGAAACTCTGACAGAGTAATGAAATCACAACCCTGGTCCCTCGAATGGAAATGCAGGTAAGCAGCGTCCAATATTTACTTTTTGGTCTGCCAATGGCAATTATACTGAGATACTTTTCCAGCCAAAAACATTTTTACCGGGCATAAAACTACATCATGCATCCATCCTACGTCATTCGGATGCTACTTTTGACAAAAATGCAGAACTTTCTGTCTGTCTTCATGTTTTCTTTCTAGTGGCTTAGGACTGGGAATACATTTTGTAGAAAGCGCAAAGAGTACACGGACGTCACAATAAGTATGGTGAACAGTGAGGGTCACATTAGTCTCAGCTGTAGATCTGTAAATAAAAAATGACTGACATGAATGAAAACACAACCATTCCTATATTCAGATAATTATACACTCGTGAAAAATTATTATCCTTCTAAGTGTTACACACTGGACCTTCAATAATTAAAAAATATTATGCGTTTAATGTGATTTTGGCCACATTTTAGACTAGTAATAGTGTTAAGTTCAATGGAAAAAGAAAAGAGAAAAGCTTTTTCTATTTAATGCTTTACTTTACTAATGTGCCACAATAATTCTGAGGAATTCAAAAACAAACTACCCCTAAGACACTGTGTTGACAGTGGGGATAATCACAGGGTGGCTGAATATCTGCTGATTAATATCAGTAAAATGTGAATCAGGTAGAGTCCAACAGTGAATCATTATTAGCCTGAAGGGGAAACTTTAGCTGACTCGCTGTTTATCACTGCCAAACTGTAATCCACTGCACTGACTGAATCATACCTTGGCAGTCAGTGTTTCACTTCATCCACAGAGCTGCTGGCATCTGAGCAGTGAGCTGCACAACTCAGCCAGTGTGTATGACAAGAGAAATACACGGACCACACTGCATCAGACCGCGGAGCCTACACCTACTGTACTGTAGAGATTGATACACTGATGTACAGATTGACAGGGGTATGCAAACAACGTGTTTAAAGTCATGTAGATTTGAACTGACTGGCTTTCCATACACGGGCTCGGCGTGTGTGGTAGCGCGTCAGTGTTCCCGTGCGCACGTGCAAGCGCAGAATTATGCCCACCTGCAATTGCTACAATGCAAGCTAGCAAAAGTGTGATGTTCAAATGAATGAAAATCTCCTCAACACTGTTACGGAAGTGTGAAAACATGGCAGCCTGGCACTGCCCTGAGATCACTGTTAAATTCAAACTGTCTGAAATCAGCTGTGGATTAAATGTGTCAAATGTAGTGTTTTTGAAGCTACTACGGTGCTACGTACCGCGGTCAAATCAAATCAATGTAAAGTACAGCATTAATACCAAAGTTGAGCCTGTCTCATGTTGCTCACACACTGTATTAGAGTCGTACTCACGCATACTAGTCGCCAGCTGTGTTAGCAGGTTCCCATCCACTGCCGTCAGTCGGGCAGAGACACAGCGCCAGAGTCTGCGGTGGAAAGTGCCTTCAGTATGCAGTTATTCCACACAGGGGTCGGCTGAGCTCCGGTTCCGCGGCCCAGATTCAACCCTGTCAGCTCACTGACGGTGGTACAGCCGCACACTGTCTACTCACACACACACTTGACACAGTCTGACGGCGTCTCAAGGTGCAGCTCTCTCCCTCTCTCTACCCCACTCCCTCACTCTGGTGACGTCACTAAGAGACGCAGCCTGAGATGCTGGATTTACTTCCCATAGGAAAACACCTCAAATAGCACTAGTTACACTAAAAACAAATGTATCTAGCTCTTCAGATGGTGAATATTACTAGGCAGCTTGTTGTGGTATGACAATTGTTTTTATTTACACTCAACAAATCAACAAACAAAAGGTCTACATCAATTCAGGCTATATAGATAATAGAATTTAGATTCTCTGTCCAAACCATTGACACTATATATAAATCAAATTCATCTTATATTTAATTTTGAATATTTTACTAATAATGCATGTAACTGTAATTTATGAGTGAATTTGTTTTTTATTGTTTTCTTTTGATAATAATTAACACAAAATTATGCACAATGTAGTTTACTTTAGCTTGTAATAAACTATTTTAATAATCTATTTAGTGGAAATTTGAGTTCAGGGTCGGGCTTGGGTCCAAACTGCTTCCGTTGTTGGGGCTAGGTTCGGGCTCACCCAGATTTTATTGTTCAGTTGGGCCTGATTGTTTTTGGCCAGATCAAAGCTCTAACCAATGGGAATGAAACTGAAAATAAGTAAATAATATATTGTTCTTTTAGCTCTTAGGTTGTTTTAACTGTTTTAACTGCTATTCTAATGCAGACCCAGGGCTGTTTCTGCTCTGTGAACATAACTTGTATTCAGCTCTTCAACTCTTAAAAAGTTAATTTTAAGTTTTAGGCTTCATTCACAATGCAGGCACAAATGACACAAAACTGACTTTTTTTCCTCATATGTGAAAACCAGATTTCGAAAGTGTGAACAGCACTAATCTCATGCAATCTGATATTTTCAGTTTTGGTTTGGGACACTCATAAGTGGTCGCAGTCATATCAAAATTCATGTGACTTTTACGTCATGGACCGTGGAAGGCATTTCAGTTTGGTCAGGCCCATCAGCACCGCAGTATCACTGTTAAAAGTTTTTTATTTATCAGTGGTTCATTTTTAGTAAAACTTTATAGCTAACGAAGTGGCAGAGAAGTACAGTGCCAGGCAGCCAGCATTTGAATGGGAAAAGTGTGATTTACATCACATAACACAATTGGCCAATACATTTTTGAATAGTAGAATGTATTGCTTTCTCATAGGCTGTGACCACAGAGTATGATATATGTGTCTGTATATAAAGTAAAATTTTGATGGTTGCGCAGTCCTTGATGTGAATCACTTTAGGACCATGACCTGTTCACACTCGAATCTGATATGAGCCACATTTGACAAATAATTTGAACAGTCAAATTAAAAAAACCTAACCCTAACCCTAAAAAGCAATAAATAGGTAATAAATGAGAATTGAGCTCTAAGCCTTGCAGTGTGAATGTTGCCTGTGGGGCAGTGGGGCTTTAAGCATGCCAACGTTTGCTAAAGCGATTTTTTCACATCAGCCCGTTTCACATAAAATAGTAGTGTAACCAGGCTTTTACCAATGGTACTAATTAAGGCTCTGTTCCATTTAGTGTAGCAGAGACTTTCTAGTGAGACAACACATATAATAGCAGCACCCTGCCTCTGTTTGACCTGAATGGAACAGAACCTTCATTTGTATCATTGGTAACACCTGTGTTTAACCTACTATTTCATGTCTAAATGGCTTCTGTGAAAAAAGGTCTGCTAGGACTAAGTGCAGCTGAGGCTGATGGGAATGTTGTTGTGGTCGTTGTGGTGTATACAGTTCCCAACTGGGAACAATTCACTATGAATATTTTGGTACGCAACTTGGAAGAGATAACGCTGATAACAAGTCAGGTAAAGCATACTTTATTGGTTTAAGGGGATGTACTGGTTCAGCATAAAGTCTGGGACAAAATCACCAATAAAAACCTGCACTTTAAAAAGTAACTCAATTCAATTCAATTCAATTCTATTTGTATAGTGCCAGTTCAGACAGACAGACAGACAGACAGGTGCAAAGCAACAACAGTAGCAACAACTACACTAATGGTAGTGAATTATTTGGGAATATTCTCAATTGTGATTTGACCAGCAGTGGATTTGTGACTGAAGGTTAGGCTACATCTGTTTATACAGTTAATGGTATGTTGTTCTAATAAACATAGTTAAGGCTACAGTAATCATAATTAGAAGTGCAGTTTAGCCATTCTACCCTTCAGTGCAGCATTGCAGTGGATAAGAATGAGAATTTTTTTTTTTTTTTTTTCTTTTTTTTTCAAAAAATTTTTTTTTGGCAAAAAATCGAAAACCGACTTGACCATTGCACATCAAAAATGATGGATGTACATCAAGGACAGGGGCTACAGGAGTGACAATCAGACATACTGTATAAAAGACATGCTTCTCGAGGTATGGAAATTATTAGGCTAATCTGTTGACAGTTACCAATTCAGATTATGTTTGATTAGTTTTTTTTTTTTATACTTTTTTCCTTTTTTTAAAATAGCCCAATACAATTGAAGTACACAGAGATGTAGGTATCCACTGCCTTGGAGAGAAGGAAGAGGACTGTTTTCAAGGAGTTTAGAGTAAGTAATTCAACATCTTGAAAGAAAATGAAATCCACATTGGGCAGTGTAAATAAACAGGGCAGAAACCTGCTCCTTGGCCACACCCTAATCTGTAATATCATAACAATTGTCTGTTCAGATAGGTACATTTGTGGGCAGCTATGGCTCAGAGGCAGAGCGGGTTGTCCTCTAATCGGTAGGTTGCTGGATCAATCCCCGGCTCCTGGTGCCACATGTTGAAGTATCCTTGAGCAAGATACTGAACCCCAAATTGCTCTCGATGGTGTGCATCAGTGTGTGAATGTGTATGAATGCGTTAGTTTCTGTATGATGGACTTTGCCATCACTGAGTGAATGTGTGTGGAAGGGTGAATGTGGCACGTAGTGTAAAAGCGCTTTGAGTAGTCAGAAGACTAGTAAGGCGTTATACCAGTACAGGTCCATTTAATGGCTGTCAACACCTATGGTAAATGACAATAATGTATTAATAAATCAATGTATTTTTTCTTTTAATTTGCTATACAAAGACACAGAAGTGGCAGGCCTCGATAGACAACAGATGTGACAAACAGGCTTACAGTAACACAATTAGAGAAGAGTCATAAAGTAAGGAACACTCAATAACGGACAAAAACCACTTTAAAGGAATGCACTAAATACTCCATGTCTTCCCACCACTCAAAGTGCTTTACACTACATGTCACAAATTAATTTAATTAATTAATTTGGGGTTCAGAGTTCAACTCAAGGGCACTTGGAAATGCAGCAGGAGGAGCTGGTTTTTGGATCCCTTACCTGCCTTTTGATTTGCCTTTTTGCCTTCACCCTTTAGACTTGTTTGCTTGTGTTTTTCGATTATCCATGTACCAAACCTTTGCTTAAGTAAACGACCTAACTCAACCTCAATATCCACTTAACAATCAAGTGTGGTCGCCAGGCAGATTTGAGGTGGATGGACATCCTGGATAACAAATCGATGGCCTTCGCAGTGAAAACACAAAATTTATCTTGGTCTATTATCATGATAATTGTGAATAATAGTGAATAACCTCACATAATTTGACTTGAAAAAGCGGTGTAGCTCTCCAGCATACAGTCCTATATTGATTTCCTGATTTATTTTGAACAAGGAGGAGCTCACATTTTTCCAGTCATTCCAAAATCCTAAACCTGTCACTGTAGCTGAAGGCTCAACTTGCCCGTATCCCCTACAAAAACCGGATGTGTGGAAATGGTATGGATTCCAAAATACAGAACAGGGAGATGAGGTTCCTATTTGATGCAATAAATGTGTTTCTTAAGGTAGGATAAAGTTTTAATGCCACTTTAAAAGTATGAAGTCGAAGTTCTGTCCAAGGTAATCATGACATGAAATTTTCATCCCAAGTCTATATCAAACTGAGTCTGAAGGCAAAGGTCTTGTTTTGCACTTACCTACGGTCATAAGTTCTGGGTATCAGAATCAGAATCACTTATTGGCCAGGTATGTGTGCACATACAAGGAATTTGACTCCGGCTTTACGTTGCTCTCAATGTGCAAACACAGATTAACAGTATACATAAACAGAACAAGTTCAACAAAAAAAGACATACACAGTTATACATATCTATTAACAAACATTTGTAGACAAAAGTGCAATGGTGCAGAGTGCAAAGGACGCTGAAATAAATATTTCACGTGCAGGTATCTTTATGTACATGGGGTAGGTGGATATGACAGTATATACAGAATGCAAAGAAACAGAATTTTCAGCAATGGACAATAAGTTATGAATGGTTTCATTATTGACCAAAAGAAAGTTTCCCTCTCAGGGTGTCCACACCTAGAGACAGAGAACTCAGATATCCAGCTGGAGTGCCGAGTAGAACCGCTGCTGCTTTACCTTCCGGTGGCATCTGATTAGATGTACCTGGACACCTCCGTGTTCCTGGTACATCCAGCTGGTAGGAACAGACCCAGAACACACTGGAGGGATTACATATCTGATCTAAGAATACCTCTGGATACCCAAAGGCATGCTAATCGAGTATGATTGGGAATACCTTGCTTTAAGTCAAAGTCATGTAGACCTCTGTCACTCAGGTTTGATACAAAATACATTTAATGTTAAAGACATGCCCCACTTATTTTTGTTTATTCCCCTTCACCTGTGGACAAAATCCAGTTTGGCCTCAAATCAAACAACAAATCCCATTAAAAGACCAGAACCAACGTCGTGTTAGTCCGTCTCTCAGTACTTTCTGACTTCTCTTAACGGTCTGTGGCTCTTACACAAAATACTGTTGGTTCCTACTGGAGATGTGAATCAGCCAAAAAAAAAAATTCACAAATATTAAAAAAAAAAAGATTCAGTAACTTTCTAAAACAGCTGGACGCTAGTCTAATAGAAGGAAATAATGATTTGGTTTTTTTGAGGACAATTTTTAGTGGAGGATGAATCCACATTTGGTGTTCTAG